CCCGGTAGCAAATCGGCAGCCAGTGGAGCTGGTGCAGCAAAGGAGTTGTATGCTCCTTGCGCTCCGCTCCTGTTAGTATCATGGCTGCCGAGCGTTGGACTAGTTGGAGCTTCCGAGCCGTCTTCAAAGGCAACCCCACGTAGAGAGCGTTGCAGTAGTCTAAACGGGATGTAACCAGAGCGTGGACTACCGTGGCCAAGTCAGACTTCCCAAGGTACGGGCGCAGCTGGCGCACAAGCTTTAACTGTGCAAATGCTCCCCTGGTCACCGCCGAAACCTGGGGTTCCAGGCTCAGCGATGAGTCCAGGATCACACCCAAGCTGCGAACCTGCGTCTTCAGGGGGAGTGCGACCCCATCCAACACAGGCTGTAACCCTATGCCCTGTTCGGCCTTGCGACTAACCAGGAGTACCTCTGTCTTGTCTGGATTCAGTTTCAATTTGTTTGTTTAAACATAAATCATATTAAAAACAGTACATCATCAAATATCAAAACAGTTATTAAAACCATAAAACAATCTCATCAGTCAAGTTCCAGTTCTTGTCCCACTAAAAGCTGCATACATCTCTGTATATAAAAGATGCATCTCTGGAAGCCGAAATCAATAGAACATAATAATAGTAAGGATAATAATCTATATAAATAAAAATGTAATGTTCGTTTGTGGGATTAACATAACTGAAAAACCACAGGACCAATTGACACCAAATTTAGACACAATACACCTCTCAGGCCAACAAGTGACCATCTATATAAATAAAAATGTAATGTTCGTTTGTGGGATTAACAGAACTCAAAAACCACTGGGCGAATTGACACCAAATTTGGACACAAGACACCTAACAACCCAATGTATGTCCTTCACTCAAAAAAAATGATTTTGTCATTTGGGAGTTGTAGTTGCTGGGATTTATAGTTCACCTACAATCAAAGAGCATTCTGAACCCCACCAATGATGGAACAGTGGAACTCTCTGCCCCGGAGTGTGGTGGAGGCTCCTTCTTTGGAAGCTTTTAAACAGAGGCTGGATGGCCATCTGTCAGGGTGATTTGAGTGCAATATTCCTGCTTCTTGGCAGAATGGGGTTGGACTGGATGGCCCAGGAGGTCTCTTCCAACTCTAGGATTCTATGATTCTATGAATTGTCTTTGCACACAGTTCTCCCATGACCAACAGAAAATACTGGAAGGGTTTGGAGGGGGGTGTCCTTTGGTTTTGGAGTTGTAGTTCACGTACATCCAGAGATCACTGTGGACTCAAACAATGATGGATCTGGACCAAACTCTACACGAATACTCAATATGCCCAAATGTGAACACTGGTGGAGTTTGGGGAAAATAGAATCTTGACATTTGGGAGTTGTAGTTGCTGGGATTTATAGTTCACCTACAATCAAAGAGCATTCTGAACCCCACCAACGGGAGAATTGAACCAAACTTGGCACACCGTTCTCCCATGACCAACAGAAAATACTGGAAGGGTTTGGTGGGCAGTGTCCTTTGGTTTTGGAGTTGTAGTTCACCTACATCCAGAGAACTGTGGACTCAAACAATGATGGATCTGGACCAAACTTGGCACAAATACTCAATATGCCCAAATGTGAACACTGGTGGAGTTTGGAAAAATAGAATCTTGACATTTGGGAGTTGTAGTTGCTGGGATTTATAGTTCACCTACAATCACAGAGCATTCTGAACCCCACCAATGATAGAATGGGGCCAAACCTCCCACACAGAACCCCCATGTGGGCCACAGCAATGCATGGCAGGGGAAGGCTAATCTATATAAATAAAAATGTAATGTTCGTTTGTGGGATTAACAGAACACAAAAACCACTGGGGGAAATGACACCAAATTTGGACACAAGACACCTCTGAGGGCAACAAGTGACCATCACTCATAAAAACACAGGAAAACAGCGGAACACTTAAAAAGCAAAAAAACACAAAAACAAAACCCAACAACATTACAACCAATGCACAAAACCACATATATTATTATTATTATTATTATTATTATTATTATTATTATTATTATTATCTTTATTTGTACCCGCTAGCATCTCCCGAAGGACTCGATGCGGCTTACACAGGCCAAGGCCTCAAAACACAACATAGCATAACAAAATACACAACTTAAAACAAATCAAAGCAATTAAAGCAATATTAAACAACAAAACAATACACCAAAACACAAGAAAACAGGGCCGGGCCAATGTAATGGGTACAGGTTATATATACACAAACACACATATATACACAAATATTCACACATTCACATATACACACAGCAATTTGTGGCAGGGGACGGCTAGTCTATATAAATAAAAATGTAATGTTCGTTTGTGGGATTAACATTGGGCGAATTGACACCAAATTTGGCCACAAGACACCTACTAACCCAAGGCGTGACCATCACTCAAAAAATTGATTTTGTAATTTGGGTGTTGTCGTTGCTGGGATTTATAGTTCACCTACAATCAAAGAGCATTCTGAACTCCACCAATGATGGAATTGAACCAAATGCGGCACACAGGACTCCCACCAACAGAAAACACTAGAAGGGTTTGGTGGGCATTGACCTTGAGTTTGGGAGTTGTCGTTCACCTACATCCAGAGAGCACTGTGGACTCAAACAATGATGGATCTGGACCAAACTTGGCACGACTATTCCATATGCCCAAATATGAACACAGATGGAGTTTGGGAAATAGACCTTGACATTTGGGAGTTGTAGTTGCCGGGATTTATAGTTCACCTACAGTCACAGAGCATTCTGAACTCCCACCAACGATGGAATTGAACCAAACTTGGCACAGAGTTCTCCCATGACCAACAGAAAATACTGGAAGGAGTTGGTGGGCAGTGTCCTTTGGTTTTGGAGTTGTAGTTCACCTACATCCAGAGATCACTGTGGACTCAAACAATATTTATTTATTTATCGTGTCATCAGCAACCATACCATTGTGTTACAATTCTAACAGAACAAAACAAACACAGATTAAAAAAATAAAAAAAACACAGATTTTGCAAACTTGGTAGTTGATTAAATGTCCTTTGACCAGTATCTGGCCACTTGGAGTGCCTCTGGTGTTGCCGCAAAGAGGTCCTCCATTGTGCATGTGGCAGGGCTCAGGTTGCATTGCAGCAGGTGGTCAGTGGTTTGCTCTTCTCCACACTCACATGTCGAGGATTCCACTTTGTAGCCCCATTTCTTAAGGTTGGCTCTGCATCTCGTGGTGCCAGAGCGCAGTCTGTTCAGCGCCTTCCAAGTCGCCCAGTCTTCTGTGTGCCCAGGGGGGAGTCTCTCATCTGGTATCACCCACAGATTGAGGTGCTGGGTTTGGGCCTGCCACCTTTGGACTCTCGCTTGCTGGGGTGTTCCAGCGAGTGTCTCTGTAGATCAGAGACGACTCAAACAATGATGGATCTGGACCAAACTCTACACGAATACTCAATATGCCCAAATGTGAACACTGGTGGAGTTTAGGGAAAATAGAATCTTGACATGTGGGAGTTGTAGTTGCCGGGATTTATAGTTCACCTGCAAGGGATCACGGGTTTAGAGTGCGGGGTCCCTTTTCGAAGAAATCCACAGAGTCCAATTGGTTCATGTAAGACACCATTTAATCAAGCTGATCAACATGAGACGGACAGAAGCACTTCTGTTTGTGCTTTCAAAGACTGCCCGCCCCGTCTCTTGAAATCTGCATATCTTTATACCCCAATGCAAAAGGGAAAGTACCACCAACATCAATTTTAACCTTTTACTGTGAGATCAACAATTTTAACCTTTTGACAGAAAGCACCTTCTTGTAACCTTTGAAGTTAACCACAATACCACATCCTGTGTAACACAGACATTTTCTTTCGTATTGCTATTTTGCTACAGAGGAAGGGTGTTGTTGTTCATTCGTTCAGTCGTCTCCGACTCTTCGTGACCTCATGGACCAGCCCACGCCAGAGCTCCCTGTCGGCCGTTACCACCCCCAGCTCCTCAAGGTCAGTCCAGTCACTTCAAGGATGGTATGTTTCTTTTTTTTGCTATTAATTTAATTCAAAGCCCCTTGTTTAGTATTTGCAAATTTCGCTCAAAGACCCTTTCACACCTACAATCAAAGAGCATTCTGAACTCCACCAACGATAGAATTGAACCAAACTTGGCAGACAGTTCTCCCATGACCAACAGAAAATACTGGAAGGGTTTGGTGGGCATTGACCTTTGGGTTTTGGAGTTGTAGTTCACCTACATCCAGAGATCACTGTGGACCAAACTCTACAAGAATACTCAATATGCCCAAATGTGAACAATGATGGAGTTTGGGGAAAATAGAATCTTGACGTTTGGGAGTTGTAGTTGCCGGGATTTATAGTTCACATACAATCAAAGAGCATAACTGAAAAAACACTGGACACCAAATTTGGACACAAGACTGCACACAACCCAATGTATGTCCTTCATTCAAAAAATTGATTTTGTCATTTGGGAGTTGTAGTTGCTGGGATTTATAGTTCACCTACAATCAAAGAGCATTCTGAACCCACCAACGATAGAATTGGGCCAAACTTCCCATAGAGAGCCCCCATGCCCAACAGAAAATACAAGAAGGGTTTGGTGGGCATTGTCTTTGGTTTTGGAGTTGTAGTTCACCAACATCCAGAGATCACTGTGGAAACTCACAAATACTAATATGCCCAAATGTGAGCACTGTTGGAGTTTGGGGAAAATAGACCTTGACATTTGGGAGTTGTAGTTGCTGGGATTTATAGTTCACCTACAATCAAAGAGCATTCTGAACCCCACCAACTATAGAATTGGGCTAATCCTCCCATGTGGGCAACAGCAACGCGTGGCAGAGGACAGCTAGTATATAAATGAAAAAGTCAAGAAGGGGAGGTTACTTATCCTCCGACAGAAAAAAAGGAGCCGCCCTCCCCTTTAAGGAGGTTGTCTTGAGCCTTCCCCTTTAAGGAGGTTGTTTTGGGGCGGGGCCGAGCGGCTGCCGGTGCCGCAGTGCCTGCCGGGAAGCCTGTGAGGGAGAAGCACCTGCGTCGAGAGAGAGAGAGAGAGAGAGAGAGAGAGGCTGCGGGGGAGAGAAGAGCTGCGCGCGCAGGTAGGGCTCTTTTTGGGGCGGGGAGGGGGTTTTGGAGAGGAGGGGAAGGGTCCTGCTTGGGTTTGGAATGGCTGGATTGGAGGGAGACCCCCAAAATGGGGAAGGAATTGGGGGGCTTTGGGCCTAGGCTTGAGGAAATGGGGAGCTGGGCAGTCGACGCAGAGCCAGAAGTTGATATCTTGGCAACACACAACAAAAGAGCCTTACCTCTAGAGCAGGTTTGGGCCCTCCAGGTGTTTTGGACTTCAACTCCCACAATTCCTAGCGGCCTCAGGCCCCTTCCTGTGTCCAGAGGAGAGCGACTAAAATGATAAAAGGTCTGGAGAACAAGCCCTATGAGGAGCGGCTTAAGTAGCTGGGCATGTTTAGCCTGAAGAAGAGAAGGCTGAGAGGAGAAAGGACCATTCAGTCCAACCTGTTTCTGCCTGACAGGAGGACACCATCCAAGCCCTCCAGACAGATGTCCACCCTGCCAGGAATAGATATGATTGAGATAGACATATGGTGGGCACCCAGCCCAGCCCCCTTCTGCCTCTTCCACCTCTATGCCTGCCATAGCAGCAAACAGCCAGCCTTTGAAGCTGCAAGGCCCTTCAGTGCTAATCAAGCTGGCCAATGGCAACATTCGCACTTGCCTCAAGCAGACAAGAGCCCTCCCGACAGATGGCCATCCTACTTTTGCTTTAAACCTCCCAAGAAGGGGACTCCATTATCATCACCATTATAGGATCTTAGAGTTGGAAGGGACCCCATCTCCACCAGGCAGGAAGACACCGTCAAAGCCCTCCCGACAGATGGTCATCCAACTTCTGCTTTGAAACCTCCCAAGAAGGAGACTCCATCGTCATCATCCTTAAAGGATATTATAGTTGGAAGGGACCCCTTCTCCACCAGGCAGGAAGACACCATCAAAGCCCTCCCGACAGATGGCCATCCAACTTCTGCTTTAAAACCTCCCAAGAAGGGGACTCCATTATCATCATCATTATAGGATCTTAGAGTTGGAAGGGACCCCATCTCCACCAGGCAGGAAGACACCATCAAAGCACTCCCGACAGATGGCCACCCAGCCTCTGTTTACAGATTCCGCTAGACGCCCAGACAGCATATTCCACTTGAATTCTTCCTAGTGTTTAGGAGGAATCTCTTGTTTTGCAACTTTAAACCCTTCCTTCCATTGTCTCCAGAGCATCAGAGCTGATCAGATAGGATCATAGAATCATAGAATCCTAGAGTTGGAAGAGACCTCATGGGCCATCCAGTCCAACCCCCTGCCAAGAAACAGGAATATTGCATTCAAATCACCCCTGACAGATGGCCATCCAGCCTCTGTTTAAAAGCTTCCAAAGAAGGAGCCTCCACCACACTCCGGGGCAGAGAGTTCCACTGCTGAACGGCTCTCACAGTCAGGAAGTTCTTCCTCGTGTTCAGTTGGAATCTCCTCTCTTGTAGTTTGAAGCCATTGTTCCGCGTCCTAGTCTCCAAGGAAGCAGAAAACAAGCTTGCTCCCTCCTCCCTGTGGCTTCCTCTCACATATTTATACATGGCTATCATATCTCCTCTCGGCCTTCTCTTCTTCAGGCTAAACATGCCCAGCTCCTTAAGCCGCTCCTCATAGGGCTTGTTCTCCAGACCCTTTATCATTTTAGTCGCCCTCCTCTGGACACTGAGGAAGAACTTCCTGACTGTGACAGATGTTCAGCAGTGGAACTCTCTGCCACGGAGTGTGGTGGAGGCTCCCTCTTTGGAAGCTTTTAAACAGAGGCTGGATGGCCATCTGTCAGGGGTGATTTGAATGCAATATTCCTGCTTCTTGGCAGAATGGGGTTGGACTGGATGGCCCATGAGGTCTCTTCCAACCCTATGATTCTATAATTTATAAACGTGGCTCTCACGTCCCCTTTTCTCAACCTTCTCTTTCCAAGCTAAACATTCCCAGTTTCCTAAGCCGCTCTTCATAAGGATTCATTGTTTCCATGCTTTTTGATCATTTTGGTCAGGCTTTTGTGGACACCTGCTTGTGCATTTATTTATTTACAGTATTTCTATTCCGCCCTTCTCACCTCGCAGGGGACTCGGGGCGGATTACAATGTACATATATATGGCAAACATTCAATGCCATAGACACACAACATATATAGACAGACACGCAGAGGCAATTTAACATTCCAGCTTTTCATGAGGGTATTCTGGCCACCAGGGGAGCTGTCGCTTCACCGACCATTTGTTTATTTTTTAGTTGTTTTTTGGTCGTGTCAGGAGCGACCTGAGAAACTGCAAGTCGCTTCTGGTGTGAGAGAATTGGCTGTCTGCAAGGACGTTGCCCAGGGGACGCCAGAATGATTTGATGTTTTATCATTCTTGTGGGAGGCTTCTCTCATGTCCCGCATGAGGAGCTGGAGCTGATAGAGGGAGCTCATCCGCCTCTCCCCGGATTTGAACCTGCGACCTGTCGGTCTTCAGTCCTGCGGCACAGGGGTTTAACCCACTGCGCCACCAGGGGCTCCTTAGCAGGTGATGCACTGACTGACTATAATATATTTTCTGGCCATAAAACCCTTTATGAGGGTTTTCTGGCTGTCACTTCACTGTCCATTTGTGACACTGATGAAGTACTTCCTCATTCTTTGCATGCTTTCTGGAGATTTTTATGGCATCGTAAATTAGCATCCCCGCATAAGCGGTACCTAAATTTCCTACTTGACAGATGCAACTGTCTTTCGGGCTGCAAAGGTCAACAGCAAGCTACACAAATTGGTCGGAAGCTCACTCCGAACCGGGCTGGCTTCGAACTCATGACCTTTTGGTCAGTAGTGATCTTAATGCAGCTGACTCCCAACGAACTGCACCACAGTCCCACATTGGCTTTTGAACTGCTAGGTAGCAGAAGCTGGACTAAAGACCAGAAGCTCACCCTGATCCAGGCTTCGAACTGTCAACCTTTCGATTGGCAAGATTTATTGCAGCTGGCAGTTAACATGCTGTGCTATAGTCTGGCCCTCACTTTTATCTCTTGATTGAGAAACTGGTGCAACTCAGGGTCGCTCCCAAACACCAACACACCAAAGCTGTAGATTTTGTAGTTTATGGTAAATTTGTGTATTGTATATTGTATTGTATTTTGTGAATTGTTAGGCATCGAATTGTGCCTTTCGTAAGCCGCCCTGAGTCCCCCTTAGGGGGTTGAGAAGCACCCCAAATAAATAAATAAATAAATTTATTGAAGAAAAGGCAAAGTCAAAACATAGTATAAGAAATGCAAAGTTCCAAAAGGCTTAAATGCAAAGACACAGTTCCCAAGATCCAAAGACAAAAACATGAAGCATAATGCTTTCAGCAGTGGTCAAACAAAAGTCCATGGAAAACAGTTGAAAACAAGACCCAAATCCCAGACTCAGGAAGCCAGAAGCGTGCTGCTTAAAGCCAAGGTTAATCCATAGAAGTTTGCATGGAAAGAGCTACATTGAACTGACAACCCCTGTGTGTCAGCGAGTAGGGCTGGGTAACCACGGAAAAATTTGTTTCTAAACTCGATTCGTTTCCAGGGGGCGCTAGCGTTTCCAAATTCTAAATACTTCCGAAATTTTGAGATTTCAAAATTTCGTTATTTACAAAATTTCGTTAATTTCGAATTGATTCGTTAATGGCGGACGCGATTGTGCAATATGCTAAAAAAACCTCCAAATGGGACAGGGGGAACTTCTGAAGCTTCCCTCTCCCTCTGTTGTTGACTGTTGGTGTGATAAAACAAACAACAACTATAAAACTTGCACCAGACATGCGAAAATAATTACGAAATAATTTCGAAATAATAACGAAACAATAACGAAATAAATTGAAAAAATTGTTTCGAATCTAATTTACTCCTCACACTATTCCTGCATGGCTCAATATTGGATCGTAAGCTAATTTAAATACGAATTAATAACGAATTACAAAATTAACGAACGAAACCGCCCAAGCCTACTAAATACCTTTGCAGAAGCATGTGCGATGACCTTTGGCAGACTTGGCTTCTCGCTTGCTAGCCAAGCGAGAGCTTCTCCGGACCCTTAATTGCAGACGATCTTGCCTGCTCATTAATTCATTATCTTCAAGGCTCTCTAACCCCTTATCTTGGTCCTGCAGCTGGACCGGATCACCGTGGGAAGGCAAAGAAGGCAAAGACATCTCCACCTGGCCGTGTGGGAATTCACTCTCGTTATCAGTCTCACTAACATTCCTTTCCCCTGAGAACTGACTTGCTGTTTCCCCTTCTGCAGCCTCACCGTCAACCCTGTCTGAAACATGTACAGAAATCTGTAACCCATCATCCTACTCATCATCTTGTAGGAACTCTGGCTCACAAAGCCCACAGCGCTCAGCTTCAGACTCAGAGTCAAGCTGAGTCACAACAGAGACAAAGGTAGACTGCATGTGAACATCCCGACTCGCAGCCGACTAAAGCAAAAGACTCCATTTATTTATCTAATCTACTGAGTATGCATATTCTTCTTGTATAGCTAGGAAATACCTTTGGACCTTTTTGGGGATTTCTCTTTACCCAGGATGCTCCCTAAGCATCGAAAAGATTGCCTTCCACTTGGAAGGGATTTTTTGTCCTTCTTCACTTTACGACTCGGTCTCTCCAGGAACAGCAGGGCCCCCCTTTCCCCACTTCATCTTTGCTCAGGCCTCACCTCGAATACGATGTCCAAGGCGAGAAGGAGATGATGAACAAGATGGAATGCATCCAGAGAAGGCTGACCAAAATGATCGAACGTTTGGAAGGCAAGCCCTCCGAGGGAGATGTTTACAATGGAGAAGGCTGAGAGCAGCCATGTTGAAATGTTTGAAAGGAGGTTCCATTGAGAAGGAGAGGGCCAGTTGGTTTTTGGAGGAATGCTTTCAGGAAAAGAGATTCCACCTAAGCATTAGGAAGAATGTATTGTGGAAGGCTTCATGGCTGGAATCACTGTGAGTTTCATGTTCCAGAAGCATTCTCTCCTGACGTTTCGCC